GGAGGAGGAGGAGGAGGAGGAGGAGGAGGAGGAGGAGGAGGAAGAAAGAATTATAACTGCTGAAGTTATTTGACATCCAGCTCAACGGGCCATCCTGATTTCTCTGTTTTTTTCTATTTCGGCTGGAACCATCCAGTGCTCTAAATGATGAATGAATCCCAGACCAGGGCTGGTTCACTTGGGCAGTTACCTGCAACCCAACTGGCCCTGGAGGGCCAGGAAATCCTCTTGGTCCTTCATCGCCCTTCTGTCCGAAAAGCCCTTGCTGTCCTCGTGGGCCGGGCTCTCCATCGGCTCCCTTGGGAGGAGAGAGAAAAGTTTACAGCTAAAGGCAACATTAAATGCTGTGAGCTCTTTGAATTTGACGCAGAAGGAAGACCGAGCTCTCCAATATGCATTAGGCCATCAAAGAATATAGCCATACAGGCATCCATCCAAGAATTTAAGGAACTCAATTCTACAGAGTCTGCAGAGTTCCTTAAACCAAGTAATTCAACTTGAGGGGCCTTTTATTTGGAAAGAGTGATCTGTTTACGCTCCCAGAACTAGAACTAATAAGCAGTGGGGGAACCTAAGAGGAAATGAGACACAGGGAGATTCTTTCCTTTTTAGTTCAGATTAGATTTACCTAGCTGGAAGGGACCTTGTAGGTCACCTAGTCCAACCCACCCACCCATCCAAGCAGGAGACCCTACGTCACTTCTGACAGATGGCAGCCCAGTGATGAAGCTCTCACAACTTCTGATGGCAACTTCTGTTCTATCAGTTGATTGTTCTCACTGTCAGAAAATGTCTCCCTATTTCCAAGTTGAATCTCTCCTTGGTCAGTTTCCATCCATTGTTCCTTGTAGGGCTTTGAGGTGCCTTGCAGAATCGCTTGACACCACCCCCCTCCTCTCTGTGGCAGCCGCCCAAATATTGGAAGATGCTCTCCTGTCCCCCCTGGTCCTTCTCTTCACTAGGCTAGCCATGCCTTTCTCTTCCTGCCTCCCGCTCCCTCTAAAGCAACGGACTTTTTAGCTTATATTTTAAATGCAGAGAATGTTTATGTACAGAAGGAATACTTACAGCTGGACCTGGTTGGCCAATCGGGCCCTGTGGACCAATAGGACCTGGTGGACCCTAGCAAGAAACAAAGACATGTCTTCAAAGAAATGGCAAAACAGTTAAAATCCATCTAAGGAGACCAAAGCAATGCGGAATGATACTCTCAAGGCACATTGATACCTGGATGGATTTGGCTAAATATGTAACTCCACCCCCACTCAGGATTCTGCCAGAGCCCTCCAATCACAGTGACTCAGAGGGGTGGGCTAAAATATGGACCCTTGCAATTTAAAATCTTGCTGAAGAACAAGGTGCATCCCAATGAATATCCTCTATTGGGTGACTGAATGTCTCTCTTTGTTCTGCAGTGGTGGGATGGACCTCATTACCACGTTAAGATTAGTGTGGCTACACTCATTTCTGGAGCCTCTGGGCCACCCTAAGGATGGAGAGGCTGGAAAAGGAACTTGGACTCATGAATGCTCGCACCCAGGCAGCTCTGAATTCATAGCTGCCCATGAGAATTTGAAGAGAAGAAAATATAGAAGAGAGTAAAGAGTAAAGAGTAGAGGTAGAAGAGAAGAGAACATAGAAGAGAAGAGAAGATGGAAGAGGAGTAGAGAGTAGAGATAGAAGAGAAAATACAGAAGAGGAGAGGAAAGGAGAAGAGAATATAGAAGAGTCGAGAGCAGAGATAAGGTAGATAGAAGAGAATATAGAAGAGAGTACAGAGAGTAGAGATAGAAGAGAAGAGAATATAGAAGAGAAGAGAGTACAGAGTAGAGATAGAAGAGAAGAGGAAAAGAGAATATAGAAGAGTAGAGATAAGGTAGAATGGAATGGAATGGAATGGAATGGAATAGAATAGAATAGAATTCTTTGTTGGCCAAGTGTGATTGGACACACAATAATTTTTCTTTGATGCAGATGCTCTCAGTGTACATAAGGAAAAATAAAATAGAATACATTCATCAAGAATCATAAGATATAACACTTAGTGATAGTCATGTTACTAATAAGCAATCAAGTCACAGTAGGAAACAAATGAAACAATATAAATTGTACAGGTACAAGCAACATGGTTATAGTCATAAGTGGGAAGAGATGGGTACTAGGAAGGAAGAGAAGAAGAATAGTAATACAGTCTAGTATAGTAACGGTAATACAGTAATACAAAAGGGGTGCGGGATGCCTAAGGACACGGCGGGGAGGGGGCACATCATCCCTGGCCTCCATGTGGGAAAGCCACAGCTTACCTGTTCTCCTTTGTCCCCTCTGCTTCCTTTCTGTCCTGGTTCACCAATTTCACCCTAATAAATGGAGAATACCATTCTGTAATACAAGCAGAACTGTCACAACCAATGAGAAGCTAAGCCAGGAAGAAGATTCCTGGATTTGTTTCATATCTTATACACTCTTAACAAATGAATAATGTTTGTTGGCTTGGTCTGATCCTTAAAAAATGAAGAATGAATACACCTCTAGGTAGATTTTTGAAATCTGCACTTCTGGAAAAAACATTGTAAAATTAAAATCATTTTGGTGTGTTGAGAAATTTTGAGGAAAACCGTGAGTGAAACATGACCAATATTACAAGAAATGGTGCCTGAATAACATTTCTGTTTTTATTTTAAAAAGCCTTCCTAACACTAAGAGCAGCTGGAGCCTGAAAAAGGCTTTAGGGGATGACTGGACAAGCCATCCCTCCACAGGGCTGGGACTCCGAATTCTGCATTGTGGCAGCCTTGCAATGAATGGCCTCAGGAGCCCCTGTCAACTCTGGGAGGTTGAATTCTCTTCCCAGGTAAAACTGCTTTACGCCCTGTAGCAGGACATTCGGCAAGGCCACGGTGTAACCACGGAGCAGATTTGGGTCAAAGGGTGCCAATGCGTGCAAGGCCATCTAGCATTTCAGTTTATGGACAGAGGCAGCCTTGGATCCCCAGCTGCCCTTTGAAAACGGCCGTTTCACTTGGAGGCAGAACTCTTCCGCCCTTAAGATACCCCACATCTTCTTCTTCCTGTCAAATTCCTGCTTTTCAGATCATTGAATGCCACTTTACGTGGTCAGCTGTGTCTCCAGGGCAGAGGCCCTTGGCTTGGATATCTTTGTTGATGGTGTCTTGCCATCTCTATTTTGGAAGCCTGAGAGGTCTCCGGCCATTGGCTTCTAGTTGGTCAGCAGTCTTGGCCACAGTGGAAGGTGCTGCTCTCTGGACGTGTCCATACCAGCGGAGCCGGCCTTGCCTCATCTTCTCTGTAAGTGGTGCACCAAAATAGTGTCATTTGTGATGTGACATCAAGAGGGGAGATGCCCGATGTCCACCGGAACCTTCGCATTTCCATGGCACAGAGAGAGCTCCCGGTCCCTGTTCAGGGCCACACAGTGCAACAGGGAGGATGGCTGTCTTGTAGATCTTAGATTTAAGACGGGTTGGCATCCATCTGTCCCGTAACACACCACTGAGTTCTCATCAACGCATCCAGGCTGCATTCACCCTTGCCCTCCCCTCGCCATTGATGCCGCCATTGCCTTGGTGGTGGGATCCCAGATACCAAAAAACTCAAAATACCCCCTGTGTGGAGAAATAAAGATATACAGGAAACGGAAGAGCCGATTCTGAAGTAGGCACGGTTTCACTGCTGGCTCTTTGAAAGCTTTGGAGGAGAATCATCTGTGTGCCAGGGTTTTTGTCACCCTACATGCAAAGCAATCCAATCAATGGAAAAAAGCCAGGACTTTTGCCTGGCATGGAAGCTGCCTACCTTGTCACCATCTTCCCCTGGGGGGCCAACCGGGCCGGCAGGACCTGGAAGCCCAACTGGTCCCTGGATGCCGTCTCGTCCAGCCGGGCCTTGGGGGCCTTTCTCACCCTAAGCCCAAGGAGAAAATCAAAATCTTCTCAGCCACAAACCAGAATCCATCCGTCGTTTCTCAGGACAGGCGGTGTTTTAAGCCTCTTTTTTCTTGGGATAATATGGGGATTATGAGCGGGACAAACAACAGAACTATGGGCAGGGGGGAATGGAGGTTCCGCCCCGTGGCCTGGCTGCAATAAAGACGGTTTCATTTGGGCTAAGGGAGCAGCAGCCTTAAGTACAGCCCATCCTGAGCCCTGGGACTGAGGGACTTCTGGCAGGAAGCATTTCCTCTGCCAGATCCGGAGGTTGTGAACTTTGGGCTTTCCAGAAGATCTCCTGAGCCAGACCCTCCTTTCAATTAGATCAACCCCCCTGCAGTGCTCCAGGAATCCAGGAAAGAGGGGGGGGGTGTCAGGAGACACTGCTGGGGTTTGACCCCCCATGCCAGCCCTCCAGGTTAAGCCAGGAGGAAACAGGAACAGATGAGCTAATTCTAGATGATTAAATCTGGAGGGCTGCAAATTTGAACCCCTCATCTAGGCAGGAAGCACAGATTTGGGCAGCATAAATCAGATCGGAAAGAATTTAATATCAATCCTGATGGATATTTTAATAAGTTTTCCTGTTTACATTCCTTCGTGTTATTTCAATAAATGTCGGGTCAACCCTCCCGGCTAAACCAGATAGGAAACGCAACCAGATGAGTGAATTCTATGTTATTGGAAGGCTGCATGAGCAGAATTTTGCAAGTCTGATCACACAAACTTCGGGATGCTGCTTTTAACTGCTTGCTCCTTCAGGGCTGGTTTCTTTCTCTGACTGGGGGGCTCATCCTGACCCTCTTATCTGCAGGCTTCCTAGGCAGCCCCACTTTCCCCAGAGTCACCCATACATCCCATTTAGCAATAGCCCTTAGACTTATATACCACTTTACAGTGCTTTTACAGCCCTCTCTAAGCCCTCTCTACAGTAGGCCTTCTTGCCCCCCAACAATCTGGGTCCTCATTTTACCCACCTCAGAAGGACGGAAGGCTGAGTCAACCTTGAGCCTGGTGAGATTCAAACTGCCAAATTGCAGGCAGCCGGCAGTCAGCAGAAGGAGCCTGCAGTACTGCACTCTGACCACTGTGCCACCATGGCCCTTCTTTCTTTCCTTCCTTTCTTTTTTCCTTCCTTCCTTCCTTCCCACTTAGCACTTAGACTTATATACAACTTTACAGTGCTTTTACAGCGCTCTCTAAGCGGTTTATAGAGTCAGCCTCTTGGCCTCAACAATCTGGGTCCCCATTTGACCCACCCCGGAAGGACGGAGGGCTGAATCAACCTCAAGGAGTGTCCTGTGCTGGCCTTCTGGGCCACACAGAGATTCCCAAGGACACTCAATGCCTCCTGCAAGACCAGCCACCCGCTGGGACTCTCTCTCTGTCTCTCTTTGTTTCCTCTCTCTCTCTCTGTCCCTGTCTCTGTCTCTCCTCTCTGTCTCTCTGTCTCTGTCTCTGTCTCTGTCTCTCTCTCACACACACACACAAACACACACACACACAACTTACCGGGGTCCCTTTCTCACCCGCAGGGCCAGTGGGCCCTTGGGGTCCAGGCCGTCCTGGCAGTCCAATTGGGCCAGCTGTTCCTGCAGGACCTCGCTCCCCTGGAGAGCCCTAAGAAGAAGAAGGAAGTTAGCAAAGGCTGCAGCAGAAGGCAAGCACCACAAGGAAGGGGGCTGAGTAGAGGGTGGGCCACGTTGGCTCCCAAGAGAAAAAGAGAGGATTGAGAGGTAAGAGGAGAGACAAACACCAAAGGATGCACCCCCAAGAGCCACAGAAGCATCTGAAGACGCTGCCAGGTGGGGATGGAGTAAGAGAGATTGATAAACCTCTGAGTCCTGTCAATGGCGGGAGAGGCCCTTGTGCCCCACTGAACCCAGGCAGGAACTGAGGCAGGGGATGAGCTCCAAGGTCAGGTCCACATCTTCTCTGAAGCAGCAACAGCAGCTGGGCAGATGTGGGCAAGAAGGTGGCCCACCCCACCTTCCAGGTGGAGGTTCCCAAAAGGGCCCCTCCTCTTCCCCGGCTGCCCCTCCAGCCACCTGGGAGCAGCCCAAAGCCCCCCGACCCTCCACCCAGCCAGAGAAAGGGGGTACTTACTGCTGGTCCAGGAGGCCCCGGTGGGCCTTCGTTGCCCTTCAGCCCCACAGGTCCCTGCAGGGGAGGAAAGCAGTGTCACTCACTGGCAAAGGCCTCTTAAAGACGACGGTGGTTGCAGGAGGGGGAGGAAAGCTCTCAACTCACAATTGGGCCGGGGAGTCCTCGGTCTCCGGCGAAGCCTCTGAATCCTGCTGGGCCATCTTTCCCGGGCAAACCGGCGGGGCCTGGGTCACCCTGCAAGCAGGACCACGAGTCAGATCGCCAGGAAAACAAGCCCTCCCCCGTCCCCCAGGGGCAACCCAGGAGGAGGAGGACGCTGCATGTTATGAATTCCGATGGTATCCAAGTCTGTTGTGATGATGTTTTACAAGCTTTGATGTCAGAAGAGGCAATGCCAGGAGAATCCCTTCATCTGTTCTGACCGAGGCTTCCCAAGAGCAGGAAGCAAACTCCTGGTCCCGACAAAAACCCCTTTTATTAATTTGCTGTGAATTCTGCTCATTCAGATCCAGCAAAGTCTTTCGAGGGAGGATTTACGGTCACAGACCTTATCTGGCTTGGAGAGCTGCCAGGCCGAGATCTGCAGAACTTGGTAATGAGTCTCCAAACCAATTAAGTGAACTAGCTGTCTCCTGCAAACTCCACGCCTCTTTCGCTCCTCTTTTATTTCCTTTGGGAGGGGCCATTCACCATCCACCTGTGGCCTTACTCCCAAGTCGAACCCTGTTCTTTAGCTGATCCCTTTGTCTGGCCACTCTGCACATGCACACACTGGGAACGGGCTCCAGCTGTTCGGCTGCCTCACTGATGTCTGACTCCGAAGGCAGCTGATAACTGGTGTATGGCCCTGGCCCGCTCTCTGCCTCCAACACTGAGCCCTCATCAGACTCCAGGACTGGCCCATCTTCCTCCCCAACCTCCTCACTGTCCGATTCTGCTGCCAGCTCCACTGGTGGGGCACAACACTACCCTCCAATTCTTTTGGTAGTCTTGTGTGCAATGAGTGTAGATCTGAAAACAGATCTAACCCATAAAGGGAAACTATCCTTGGGCAGAAGCGATTCTGCACTTGCTCAGAAGGCACCAGGTCGAGCACCTGCCCCTGATGCCTCAGAGCTTTCCCACTGCAAACTTGCGCATGGGAAAGGTTTGAGGCAGGGGAGCTGTGACAGCACGGGCATTATTTCTCCAGACCTTGAGGGCTTTGCTTAGAATCCTATGGGGAAAGTGATCCTCAAGGCCACCCCACTCACCCCTGCCCAGCACAGGAACTCTGTTTAAGCCCCCTGGGAGAGGCTCTGCCTGAAGACAGTCAGCACTGGAGATCCACAGCCTCCCAGGGGCATAAAATGTTCTCTTAAGAGCAAACCAACCGTCATCGTCTTCTTTTAATGACCCCATAATCCCTTGCGGGGTGGATTCTGGGCAACTGAATGAAGCTGAGTGTTTACTGGCCAGATGCACTTCCTGTTGCCAATGCAGAGGTTTTTTCCCCGCAGATATATATTCTCACTGTGCCCAGAGAGAGGAATGTCTGCCTATACCTAGGATTGAACTCACAGGCTCCTGATTGTGAGGCGAGAGTGCCACCTCTAGGCCACGGCCCCACTTTTTAGAGCAGACCAACTAATATTCAGGAATTCTTGTTCTACATTTTTCTCCACAAGAAAGAGGAAGCCTCATCCACACTTCACTCTTAGATCCCTCCAGACATCTAACTTTAACTTTCTCCAACGAAGCCCTTCGCCCACCCCGGGCGTCTTCTCGGTCCAATGGAGGTCATACCTTGGTTCCTTCTTTTCCAGCCAAGCCAGGAAGTCCCTGTTCACCTGGGGGCCCTGGAGGGCCCGGATGGCCACGTTCCCCCATCGGGCCGGTTTCTCCTGTGGGGCCCTGCAAGAAATGGGGAGGCAACTTCAGGACTGATATCCAGATACCCAACTCCATCAAAAACAGGGAATCTGGGGGCATTTCGGGGGCCGGAAGCTGATGGCATGCAGGGGGGAAAGGCCAGGAGGGGTTCACAAAGCTGTAATCAGAGAGAAGCAAGACATACCGCCCACCTCAGATTGATGTGCAAAGCAGCCAGTTTGTTCCTCCCCCAAATCAAGGCTAATCCTGTCAGTGGGATCTCAGTGTCTTTCCACACCTTGAATCCTCTGTCTACTCAAACATCTAATTCCCATAACAAGATCCTGGTTGATCTACCAATTTGCTCTTCCTAATGCTGGTTCGTAATCTGCCATGCACTGTCTACATTAGATCAGCAGCTTGAGGGAGGGGAAGGGAGGAACCCGGCCCTGTGAGCAGCGTGCCAGTGCACAAACGCATGTGCAGTCGAGCTGTGCACGCATGTCTATGTCCACCAGCCTACTGATCACGCAGCCCGGTTCCAAAGAGGCCATGGCCTGGTAGTGGGACGCGTCTCAGGGGTTGGGGACTCGTGTCTTAGATTCAGATGATCCCTTTTTAATGCTCTTTTTTTAGTAGGGTGGCTTTTATTGAGTTTTTACTGTCCTGTAAAGATAAAGGTTCCCTTGCAATTATGTGCTAGTCGTTCCTGACTCTAGGGGTGGTGCTCATCTCTGTTTCCAAGCCGAAGAGCCAGCTCTGTCCGAAGACGTCTCCGTGATCATGTGGCCAGCACAACTCAATGCCAAAAGCGCACAAAACGCTGTTCCCTTCCCACCAAAGGTGGTTCCTATTTTTCTACTTGCATTTTTATGTGCTTTCAAACTACTAGGTTGGCAGAAGCTGGGACAAGTAATGGGAGCTCACTCTGTTACGCAGTGCTAGGGATTCAAACCGCCGAACTGCCAACCTTCTGATTGACAAGCTCAGCGTCTTAGCCACTGAGCCACCCTTCCGTATTGTTGCTCAAAATCCTGTCAGCTTCCTTACAGCACCACAACACTGGAAAGGAGAGATTAAATGGACTCTCTCATCCTTTTTCCCCCTCCCACTGACCCCAACTCTGGTGTGGCCGCCCTAGAAGCCTCAGCTCCTGCACCCTGAACTCTAATCCAGGGCATAAAGCTTCTCGCTTAGTAAATTTTGGTAATGTCACTCTTTCTGGAAATTACACTAATTGCATTTTAGCATTTCCAAACATAATTAGCAGGCAGTAGACTTTTATACCTCAGAAAGCAGGCATGTTATTTACCCTCTGATACAGGATTTAAACTGTCATTAACCTGGCAGAGTTCCCAGGAATTAGAAAGTAATCGGAGAGACAACCGACTTCCTACAAAGCCGGAAAAAAGGAATTTTCACCAGAGAATCTGGGAATGACTCACCTGTGGACCAACAACACCTGGGGGCCCAGGTGGGCCCGTCTTCCCTTGGAAGCCCTGGGAAGAGAAGAAAGGGTCAATTGAAGGGCAAAACCATGGCAGACCGTGGATGGAAACAAATAAAACGACAGGATCTCTTTGGCTAAGCTCACTTGCTGCCTTCGGAAGAGTGAATATTGCCAAGAGAAAGAAAGAAAGAAAGAAAGAAAGAAAGAAAGAAAGAAAGAAAGAAAGAAAGAAAGAAAGAAAGAAAGAAAGAAAGAAAGAAAGTTAGCAGTTGCTTCCTCCCATTGTTCTGCCTGA